AAAATGAATGCCCTGAAAACTTCATCAAAGCCAACATGGTTTACATAGATCTCAGACGGTAAATGATGATACCGAAGAAACCTCTTTCTGATTTTACAATTCGAGGGAGACACTTAAAGTGATATCACATTACGAAGCTTAACTGGGGCAATAGATAGAACATTTTACTTTGATTATCTCTCTACATCTTTTGGTAGCCTTCCAATGCTCAGTATGCGGCTGAAATAAAATGGACCTAATCTTCAATCCTCATCTTGCATATATCAATCTAACTGTTTCTATAAAACAAATTTTGTAGTGTGCACGATTAGGTAAGTTAGTTTTCTGATAAGAGGACGTTTCACATCATGATTTGGAGAAGGCTATGTCAAAGAGATAAGATGTTTTGTCTTGGCACACTCCATAAGCGAAGAGTGTGAAGATACACCAATATAACTTTTACTGTCGTACAACGCATTCCGAAAACATTACCACAAGTAGCCCACCAACGCTTTCTGAATAGAGATGAAGCTGTAGCAATAAGATTGGTCAAGCTTTTTGTTTATTTTCTTTCTTTCGTCGTCACATTCCTCGTACATACATAGATCATTTTGACAAATTTAAAAGGCCAATCTGCTTACAGTCCCTAATGCACATTCCATTTTTAAAATGTATTTGGTGCAAACTTGGCCTTATCACAACAAATAGTCATCCCTTATATTGCTGTTGTATAATGGTATAAGAATCTTTTAAGGCTTTTCAGGGATTTCTGAAACTGTGAAGCAGACATTGTTACTTACTCAAAAATCATTGCAGCACTGATTGAAACCAGCGCCAGCCATTAATTGGCAATATTTTTCTTCGAAGTGACAGCTGAGGAACTAGTTACTTTAGGTACATGCCAGTAGGTGTTGGTTACTATCAGTTTTACAATAAGATCATATCATTATCCCAGTGAATATCACCGTTTAAAAGTTATGAACGTGAAATTAATTAGGTCTACTGTTTTGTTACTAACCTTTGTTACTTTAGAAATTTTAATGATAATAATAATCATAGAAATAATAATAATAATGATAATAATAATAGCAATAATAATAGAAATAATTGGATCGATTCGATTCGAAGAGAGTTGAAGCAAGGTCGCTTATTGGGAGACATGTACATCCAACTGACATGTCACAAATTGGGCGAAAGGCGAATTTTTTATTCTAGTGCTAGCTGCTGGTCACCCTTACTACCAAAATGAAACTGATCACTACAAATGCATGGGGTCCATGTCCGAAAAGTGGCCCATCACCTCGGTCCAAACTAATCAATAGTATCACTTCTGTAAATAACCCAGACATTTTCATTACGTTTACAATACAGTGAAAACCAGTCATATTCTCAAGGTTGTAATGATCTTGATGACTCGCGCTGGAATCCAAAACGTGCGTTTTGTCCTATTTGACATTCGTCAGCTAGAGGTGCCTGCACTCCAGCCAGTCATCCCTTCTGAAACTGGGGCCCGGTATCCATCGCTTCAAACCCTAAAGGGTTTTCCACAAAGTCATTGGGGTACGAGAGTGGTGAGCACTGGTGAAAGTCGGTCGGCTGGAAGTAACCAGAACTAGATCAAACAAAATTAGTTGTTCTTCAGTGACCGACCAATAGTTTCAACATGTTTTAAATATTTTGAGATGGTCAATTTTTCATTGAATTTATTCTGTCGACTTCTCAAATTCAAGTAGAATCAGGTACCACTTTTTAGAAGAGAATGTATGAAACTTCATTTTGTGTAGAGATGATTAGAGTGTCTGATGAAAACAAGTTCAACAATTTAGAACTGAAGAACAGAATTCATTGATTGAAGTTGTTACATGAAATAATATCCAAAAAGGAAACACCATAAATAGAACTCAGGCTGTATTGCTTCGGAAATCTACCAATCACTTTCTGCTCTCACTGACTTCAGCCATTAAGCACACCATTTCTGCACGAGACGAACCAATATTTGTTAGTTTTGCTTTTGAATAGCATCTTCTGTAGTGACTTTAAAGGCCACCCTAGCAACAACTGGGATAACCAATTAGACTTCTCTATTTTATGAAAGTCTGCCTTTTCAGCCAAAATGGAGAAACCTAACTGGTTATTTCGATCGTTGTAACAGTGACCTTTAAAGTCGCCCCATTTTCTATTCTGTTCATTCTTAACCCTCTGCTACACACTTCTATACTGGTCAGCATTCAGACTAAGTGTGCGTATCCACTTAAAAAGGAGTGACTTTAAAGGCTACCCTAGCAAGTATTGAAATCCCCTTTCAGGTTTGTTAATTTCTCCTCGAAATTTACTTGTTTTATAAACTTCAGAACCTAATAGGTTATTTCATTTGTTCCATATTAGATTTGGTTATTTGATATAAAGCGCACAGTGATACAGTATTATTTACTTGATTACGTTTCGAGCATAAATTATTGCTCATAATCATATCAATGTAATCACACTTCTTTCGACATCTGATTTTATAGTCCTGTCACCTGATCTCTCTTTGTTTTTTTTATTGGTAGTAAAGTTTTCCATATCTCTGGTATAGGTGTTGCGTCATTCCTATTACATGTGTTGGGTGTGGATTCGATGAACAAAGATTCAGTAATTAATCTCTCTCTCCACCTAGCTATATTAGACTTAAGTACAGTGGTTTTGTCCCATCCTATTGTGTGGTTGTGTGTTAATGAATGTAATGCAATGGCTGAGTGTTTTTCTAGGTTATTGATCTTATTGGGGTCTGTCGTTCTATGTTTAGCTAAATTCCTATGTTCTGTTAATCTAACTGACCCCGACCGGCTAGTTTGACCTATGTATTTGACTTCACAGTCATTACATGGAATTTGGTAGATTATATTATTTTGCTTAATTGGTTCTATCGGATCTTTTAGCCGACAAAGCTTACCTCTAAGTGAGTTTGTTGGTTTAAATGCCACCCTAATTCCAACCTTGTTGAGAATCCTACGTATGGTTTCTGATGTTCCTTCCTTGTATGGTATCACAATAGAGGTGCTGATTTCCTTTCTACTTATGTTGTCACTATTATTTGTATTTGTATTAGTGTTATTATTTTGCTTCTTATGCGTCCGTGTGAATTTCTTAATAAAATGATGGGGATAATTATTAATTATTAACGCTTCTTTTATGTGTTTCAATTCCTTATTTAAGTCCTTACAATGACTAGTGAGTTTCTCAGCTCTGTTATTTAGACATTTGACTAAACCCGCTTTAACTGACACTGGATGAGATGACTTGAAGTCTAGATACCTGTTAGAATGTGTTGGTTTTCTGTAGACGGTAGTATCTAAACCACCATCTATCCTTCGTTTTATTCTGCAATCCAACATAGGTAATTCTCCTTGTTCATTTTCTACTTCGTAGGTGAATTGGATTGCGTTAACTACTGAGTTTATGTGTGTCAAGAAACTGTCGATATGTTCCGATTTCAACACTGTAAATGTGTCATCTACATATCGCCACCATATCTTAGGTGTCGGATTATATGTTCGTAAAGCCATATCTTCCCAACTATCCATAAATATATCTGCTACTATAGGGGATATTGGTGATCCCATTGCTACTCCTTCTGTTTGTCTGTATATCTTTCCCTGAAACTTGAAGACTGTCGAGGTTAAGCATAACTGCACTCCTAACATGATTTCACCAACCGATGCCTTGGTTCTTTGAGTAAGTTGTGAGTCAGTATCTAGTTGATTTCTGACTGCCTCCAGTGCCATATTGATTGGTATTTTAGTATAAAGACTTGTTACGTCAAAACTAACCATTTTTTCATCCTCTTCTATGTGCAGGTCATTAAGTTTTTGTTTCAACTCGTAAGAATTTACTAGTCTAGAGTTGGAACGGTCTCTAACAGGACGTAATACTGATGCTAAATACTTTGATATCTCATATGTTGGTGTGTTTCGGAAGTCAACTATCGGCCTAATGGGATAACCTGCTTTATGAACCTTAATATCAAATAAACAAATCTAATATGGAATTACATTCTACCACAGTGCCCAAGTTTTACACTTATTTCATTTGTTGTCAGGGTGGCCTTGAAATTAGTTTAGAAGTTATCCAGTTGAATCTAAGGTCATGTCAACCGGTTCACCTTCTTTGTTAAAATCTCTCACTTGATGGTTCCAATAAATACTAGTAGTGCTGTACAGAGCTTCATAGTTGAATATAATTGGACTCTTTTAATCCCACCATCCTCCAACACGCATGATTAGACACTTATCTCAGGAGAATCAAAAGTAATCATTCTCTGATTGACAGATGTATATTTATCTTGTCATAATTGATGCAAACCGAGTTTTGTCTAGTAATCGTCACACAACTGCTTACTGTAAGTATTACTCATGACAATGTTGGATGAACTATGCAAAGGCATATTCTCACTGTAAATAGTAAAAAATAGGGCAAGCAAACATCAGACAAAAAAAAGTGTACATACGCGTTCATCTACATGATTTTGCAGAAAATTTCTAATTGTACACCATGTGTTATCATTATTATTTTTGTTATGAAACAATTTCATAAATCAAAGTAAGACAGACCGTATATGTGTATCGATGTACATTTGAGTGTGTATATCTGTAGTATAATTCCGTATCACTCGTTGGTTGTTTTCCTGTTCAAATAGCAAATAAAACAAAAGAGAATTTTCAGACAAAATCTGCGTAGGCGTTATCAAAATAATCATAATAACACAGAAACCTTAATCATCATGATAAATGTTAACAAATCAAATTATAATTTAATTCTTATGCACATGGTGTTTGTGGTTGGCTTAAAAGCTCATACATTTATCTGTATATTCAATTTGAAATCGGTTGAATTTAAACAGTATGATTTTCATCAGCTGTCACAGCCTTTTAGAATAACACCACTTTGAAGGCTAAGTTAGCATAACACAAAAAAAAAACGTTCAACAAGAAAGTTGAGTTGGATTTTATCAAATCAAAGAGGAGAGTCGAGTTCATCAACTCATGCATTTTTCAGATGTCGCCTTAATACATTTGACCATAATTTGGATTAAAGCAAAATTTAATGAATATCTACATTCTTTCTTATCATTATCATCACTGTATTCCTCTTCCCAATCATCATCACTTACATTAGTGGTGATTATTTTACGTTTAGTTACAAATTACTTAAGATTAAATATAGAGTTCATCAAAAATCTATTAGGTTTTTATTTGATTCAATGTTATAGTGTTACTGTAATCACAAATGACTCTAGTCAGTGTCAATACGACTTTCAATGTTCAATGGAAAATACTCAATTTAGACATGTAAGATCAACATCATTTGAAATGACAGCAACAGAAGAAACGCTGTCACAAAGAGACTTTCGTGTTGGAAGACGGCTATTATCTAATGAAGCAGCAATGAATGCTTTAGAACAAGTAGAATGCTGTAAACATATCCAATTTTCCGATGTTACCGGCGGTGATTATTATCATAATTCACGTATTCAGCTGAGTCCTTATCGCTATAACCACCAGTATCAACAACAAAGACATTGTATTCTTAATTCTCGAAACCTGTACTATCGATTTTATATTGCTTTTATATATTTATTAATTTTGTTCAGTGTTCAATGTATCCATAGTAAGCCCACTTCATTATCAATGAAAAGAGATTTGAATGTAACTTCTTCCTCATTAATGTATACATCTGCTGTCATCCCTTCATTGTCTTCGATCATCAATAGCTCCTATTCATCCTCATCGTTATCATCAGTATCACCTATTATTTGGTCTTCACCTTCGACGGTGGCAATAGCATCAAATATACTGCCGAGTGTGAAGAATAAATCATTGAGCACAGATGACTTACTATTTGAATATTTAGATATATTAACCAATCCTAATTTTAATGCAAGTCATGCAAATGATATACGTATAACAAATGTGTTTATGCGATCACAAAGAACAAAACGTAGTTTATCATTTTATATGTCAAATTTAGACACATCACCATTATTTCTAGTTTCATCAATAAAAAATGATGTAACGGAGCAAAAATACCTAAGTATTCATGATAATGGAACTGTAAGATTGGTTAATTCACATCGACATATATCTGGTGAGTTTATGCTGTTCTCTTATTAGCATTATTATAAGTGATTTCGGTTTTGGTGCTATTGATTAGGGTTCATTGGCTTCCCCACTTGATTTCCATACAATGCGTCTCGATTTTGCATCCGTACTTTGGTGTAGGCAACCGGGTGGTATTGCAAGCATGATTATTCTATCGCTTGATGTATTATTAATTCAGCTGTTGATCTAGTTCCTCGTCAACCTCTTTAGATAGGCAAAACTGTTTTGGTGTCTTATCATGCAGTTAGTATAACTAATATGTTAGTGTAGGCATAACTGGACTGAGGTGGAAATGTGACTCTTTGGCTTCAAAAATCAACTTTCAAACAATGGGTCCTCGTTTTGGACCCTTCTCCACCTTCCACGACGAGGGCAATTGAGTAGTATCATAAGGCCTTACATAACAGGTAGGGCTCGTAATCCAGTGTATTAGAATGTGCCGGGTTGAGTTTCGTCATGATTGAATTTCCAATACATCTGCACGTTATTTTTTCGTTGCGCAAGCTATTCAAAGGTTTTCTTCAGGCGTATTAAACTATTCAGCGATGTGCAATATGAATCAGTTTAAATATATCGTGGGACATATAGCACTTTTTGTCTACTATCGTCATTCCTTTGTTCACCGTATCGCTGAATGAATTTTCAATTTTCTCAGCTTACAGTCATTTAACAGAGTATTCCAATATAGGCTAAATTTACATTTACTCATCCAGATTGTTTCAGAAATATTTTTCCAATATTCGTATCAGAAAAGCTTATACATTCACAATCAATGTTCAACTGAGAATTACCTGTTTAGCCATCGGTGCAACTTTGGTATGTCTAATTGAACTGGAAGATTTGTTATCGTTAGTGTTTCCTATAGGTAATGAGGTATCAAGTAGATTTTTGTGAACACCACTGAACTGGTTCGTACATCAGGGCAATAATAATGAACCATGAGACCTTCTCATGATATGTGAAGAAGTTCAGACATAATCTTCTCAGTGTAATGCAACTACCATAAGGTTAATAACTGCATTATTCAGCATCACTGTCAGTCATATTATTATTGAATAATTTAAGCTATTTTATAAACTGTTTTTAGTTCGAGTACATAAGTTAGTGGTTGAGTTGAATACTAATATGTTCAATAACCTGTATCAGTTAGCCTCATTCTGTGAAGGGTTGAAATCCGTCACTGTGTATGATCTGCTTCAACTAACAAGTTTTATTCTAACTTATCAAACTTAACTTGCAACAACTGTCAAAAAAATATGTCATCGTTCGGTTCAAAGCAGTTTACTAGTTGGCCAGTCGTTTAGACAGTTGATATGGGACCTGTCATTACTGTTTAGCCGTTCAGGTTATTTTAACTCATATCAGTACATCAAGGAAGAATATCACAAGGTGAAAGTGAAAAGTAAGGAGAAATGCAATCGAACTTCGTAGCCAGGCTTATAGAAAGACGAAGAACGAAAAATAAAGCAATAATGGAATTTGAGGTGACGATAAAGATGAAAATAATATGTCCACTTCGACTGATTCTGAGCCAAACCACCTAGAGTCTGCAAACACCGATTTTGGTTGTCACGTGGATACAGGGATGTCTACATTACCTTACATGGTTTAGATCAACAGTTAGATTATATGAACTGGTGTCCTATTGTAGTATGATCAGTCGAAACCCACTTCGACTAACATTATGTAAACGCTGATTAAGCATGCCTAACAAATGTCCCAGCCATCTGAGTCAATGGTGTACAACCTCACCAATAGACTTACCTACTTTACCTATGACTTCATGCCTTGCCGTACTGATAGCACGATATTTCCATGACAGGTAGTATTGAGGGCAAAGATGATCAATTCCATAGTGCATTCTCATACACCTCAACTCTATTGACCATATTTTACAGCCAGGGCAGAGCGAACTGCTGGGCAGTGATACTAAGCCATCATTCAGTCTATTTCACGTTTGAACAAAGTTTTTAAATTTCAACTTACCTTGTGATTTCAATGTGAGGCATAGTGTTTTCTTAATCCGTCAGTTACTAAATAATTCACATGTTGTATTAAGTAATGAGTGAGTTTCATTTTTCCTCTATATAAGCAGACCACTAATCTGTTCTTCCGTAAATAATTACAACCACTTCGAACCTATCCATTAAAAATTAAAATAACTTCAGCACGAAAACTAACATTCATTTGGAGTTCGTGAAGAACTCATGGACTTGAAAATTTTTCCACCAGGGCTCAAAATTATCTAGAGTCAATAAATCTAGGGAGTACTCCACAACTTTTTCTCCTTATTTCAACAAACTGAATCCCCCACCTTTTGTAGAATCGAACTCACAACTATTGGATCAGATGAGAATCTGTGACCTAAAAGGATAACTAATTATTTTCCCAGAACAGTTGCCCACCAATGACATTTCGAAATGATGCGAGGGATTTCATGTAGAGTTGTAAACAGTCGTGAAAGTTAAGTGGAGTAGCCATCCAGTAGTCCTTGGTTTTTAATAATTCATAGGCTAGTGTCGACCTACAACGCAAGCAAGCTTAACCTAGCAACTAATTTGTAACCTATTTTATTATTTAGTAATCTGCAGGAAAGAAAGTGAACAAATGCATAAACAATGCTTTAATGAACGTTCCTAATTGTATGAACATACAAGTAGACGAAATATATTCATTCTCTTACTACCAGTTTGGTGCTCTGTTGATTAATTGGTACAATTTGCCGTTTCCTTTTTCTCATGGACTTCTGTCTAAACCTTTTCGTACATTCTAATCTGTCCAATGATCAAACACTTATTCTTTTCTTGTATTTGTGCATTACCATGCGCTTATATGCATACACTAATCACAGATAGAAACAAAAGATGCTGATTTTAATGTGTGTGTTATTTACAAAAAACTTCTCAAAATTGAAGAGTGGCGGTCAGTGTGAACCAATATCACTTCGACAAACCAAACAACATCGATGACCTTCAGCGAGCCAGTTAGTTACGAGTTCCTGAAAGAGATTATTTTTCAGATGAATCCACCTGTTGCTGAAAACTATCATTCATTATTTGAAATCTACTCATTTGTGTTGTTATTATAGATTTATTAAGTTGAGCGTACGCGAACCGGTCAGTCGATGATAACTGACTTCTCTGTCATGTTTTATATGTGCTACATTGATTAAATTCCATAGATCATTTTTATGATGTGGTCAGTAAGTTGATTCAGAGAGTAGTTTCGTATGCAAAGCTTTCTGTTGAATGGTTCCTGGTAACTAGGTTAAAAATCCTTGATAGTGTTGTGTTCTGTCAGTTGAACGACCAGACTGTCTAACTCCGAGAAATAACATCAAAAAGAAATCATTCTCTTATGTAACCAACATCAGCATCAAAAGCTGAAATTTTTTTGGAAATCTCCACCTCTTTTGTGGTTGATTTGGTGGCTGGCAATGGGATTCAGAATGTAGGTTTCGTCCTATCTGCAACTCGCTGGTTGGATTTACCTGCACCTCAGTTAGTGGTGTTGTTCTCGGTGAAACTCGAACCCCGTACCTATCGCTTCGAGTACTAGAGCCATCTCTTGTCCAATGAGCATCAGTTGTTGCGCAGTGATACTTGCAATTTCCTGTTACTATACTCGGTCGAATTGGTCAACCGCTCTGTGGCTGACGGGTTCCTATGTGGAAGCCTTTTTACTGCCCATCCCCTTAAAAAATGAAACTCACGTCCTTGGTTCCACTGCTAGCCGCCGATTATGCCAAAGTAATATGAATATCTGGGAAATACCACGCATCTATACAGGAGCCCATCTGCTAACAGAGGTCAAAGAGTTCGACTCAGTATGCTCTTTAGTTTATTTCAGTCATACAGAAAATATTTTTTTGAGAATGTAGTGTGAAAACATTACTAATAACATTTACAGTTTGATAGTCTGATATTATAGTATCAAATTTCGTGTCATTAGGAAACGGTACCTTTTTAAGCAATCGGGAATGGAGATGACTAAGAAGTTATATGAACAAAAGATGCTAATGCATCAGTGCATTCATTTCACCTCTTCTGCATATACATCTTTCAGGTGAAAAGCGATAAGGAACATGTATTCCTCAGAAAGTGATGATTGACAAATGGAAAGTATTGAGTACACTTTAGAAAATGTTGATTATTTAAAAAATATATCAAATAATTATGCAGTTTATGACCACTTCATTTCATTTGGTTGAATATGCAGCGGTCCAAAATCCTTTGATTTGAATTCTACCTCAGTCCTGGGTTTATACAATCTATGTCACCCTAATTGCATACTAGAGGATAGCCAAGATTCAATGATGACTACACTCATTCTCATGGCATCATCTACTTCATATTACATGTTTCTGTTACAAGTTCGAAACACGTAGTTCATTCTGACTGTAAGTTTTCACAGTCATCACGTGAACAATATCGAAGTAAGGCAAGGGTACTAAGCTGGGAAGGTAGTTCAGTCGTTGACATTGGGCACCTTAAATGATTGAGGTGGCTTGAACATGTGTTGTACAAGCCGAGCCGTCACCTAACTTGACTTGGAATGTTACTTGAAGTAGAACTCGGGGTGGAATCATAGACCTGTTCGTTTATTAAGTGTATTCGTGTTAAGTTAGTAAAACTGAATTCAGTGATATTATTGGTTTGTGGCCAACTTTAGATTCCAGAACGCGCATCACGCCTGTTTTTGGACTGATCAGCTGTGAATGCTGTTGTTCCCACTAAGACTGGGAGCCAGAACCAATGCCTTCAAACACCATAGAGTTATCTTTCAGGTCACTGAGTCATGAAAGCCACTCCTTGGGTTATAATATCAAAACTAGATCTAGTGGCTGACATTTTCTGACTTGGGTCCGACTGTACCCTGTATCATTATTAGACATTAATTCCCATTCCTCAAAACTCCCGACTAAGTATTATATTGTTGGCAAATTGCGTTGAAACCGGACTCTAATAGATATTTTAATCAGTTTTT